GAAAGCCGATTAATCCGATGGATTTATGGGTAATAACCCGTATTGTTGTGTAAAAGGTTCTACGCCTCACGATTTTTCTAATGGAAAATGCCGATACCTTTCACAGCTAAAGCATGCAAGTATATTTAAAAGTTACAAAAAACTAATTCTAATAATTTGTTATTGATAAAATGTGTTCTAATGATGAGATTAATCAAATACAAACAAAGTTAAAACTCGGCCCATTTTACTTCACCTATTGCCGTAGAAACCATTTGATCTCCCAATTTTTTTCTTAAAACTTGAAAAATATGCTAATAAATATATAATTTTATGGGCCAATAGTACTCCCAAATGTTGTTTCGTGACTGAAAATAAGACTATTTTCGTAAAATTTGAACCAACAATGTGGCGATTTTTTCTGATTGATACCCGAATTTTTTTATTAAACTGGCTAAATATTGAAATTGTTCATGGACAAATTTCCTTAAATCAGTCCTTCTTTTTTGTGCACTATGAAATTTATAGCCTGCATTTTGTTAGACATTTTATTCATTTTTCATTCTGTTTATAGCAAAGTTGTTTATTTTCTCCTATTCTGAAGTCATTGTTTTTTTCTTCTTTTTTGGGTGCCAAAGATGAACGAATGCAGTAAATTTACAAAAGGAGTAAAATTTTCCTAGTAAAGGAAACCTTCTGCTGGTCGTAATATTATGAATGAGCTTCATATGCATCTGTTGTCGTTTCAGACTACGCTTCTCGTTCAAAACATGAACCTAATTCATTTTTAAATTAAAATCGTATTGAGGACATTTCAATGGTGACTGCAAAAGATATATATATATATGTTTGTGGTATATCATCTTTTCCACAAGTTTATTGTTTTCTGTTTGGTATTTAATTAATATTAAGATCCATTTTGTTAGATCTGGTGATCAATTTATTTGGCAATCGCCAATGGCAGTCAGCAGGGTTTAAGAACATCAGTTGTTCGACCTGTTAGTCAAATGCGTTTTGTTAAAATAGACTTTTTCACTTTTTTTGGTCTTTTGGAAATTGTTGTTTGTGCTGTATTTAGACTCCTCTACCAAGAAATTTGTTTTACATGCACACGTATAAAAATTGCGGTTTTTATCCAACGCAATCATAGGTTTGAACGTTGTTTTCAATTTTGACTTTTATATATATATATATATATTTGATAATAAAAGATTTTATTTACACCAAGGATTTGTATATGTATACACATAAACAATCTTACTTTTAAATTGCCATCTCTTTACCCCAGAATAAAAAGACAAAAACCGCTACAAATGATTAAAAGACGAAAACCACTACAAATGATTGTCTCGTGGAAACAAGGTTATAAAATACTTTTTAAATAGTGTCTTCCGTGTTGCTTTGATGTATGACCTGTGTTTTTTAATAGATTTTTTGTTGCTTCGAGGACACACATATCCATCTATGTATGCAGTATTGTCAATTGTTTTTGTTGGTGGGTCTCTCGCTTATGTTTTCGTCCTTTTCACTATCAACAAAGAGTTCGTTATCCGTTTATTCAACTAGGAGTATATCTAAGTCGTAACTATTAAGATTGTCATCCCACGAAATTAAGATTGTCATCCCACGAAATAAAATCGGAATTTTCCATATTGCGTGCACATGAATGAAGCTTTATTCAAATGAGAAATTAATTGTAATTTTCTTAAATATTAATTCTCAATACACACTTCGAACATGAAGAAACCATAAATTTACCGACAATCAATATAAAAATAAATAAAATTTTAATAATTTATAAATATCAAGAATAAAAAACAAAGCCTATCATGATTAACAATTAATTAACAAATAAATTAAGTTTTTTTCCATATTAATTAATTATACATTTTGTGAATTGTATTTTTGGAAAGAGTGTGGACACCTGTGGTGTGACAACTTCTTGTTTACAAGGTGTCAATTAAAACTCATTATTTATAACATGTTCGTGATTTACCTGGTCATCGAATAATTCAAACCTAATATACATGTCACACTGTGAAATTATGTCTCCGAGACAGGTGTATATTCAATAGAAACCCATTATGTAACTATCAAATAAAATGAACTCTGACACAATTTATCAAGTGTTAATTATTTAATATCATTTTTTTTTTATACAATATCAAATTATGTCTCTTTTTCAATAATACAAATCTAAAATCAAAATTACATTAAAATAAATAATTATATATGTACTCAAATTATATTTAATTAATTATGATAAATTTAACACTGAAACAGTTTATGTTATGCTTAAACATTCGTCCTTACTTCGAGTACTTTTAATACTTTTATTAATGACTTTATTACCTAAGGAGATCTCGCGAGGTTTAACTAGTGGCCGCGTGTTATTACGGGATTTCGCCGAGTTGCGAATCTCTTGTATTATATGTCTCTGAAAAAATACAGTACAAAAGATCATACCAACTACCAACAAAGCCAAACAAAAAGACATACAGACAAAGACAGACAACAGCAAATAACAAAGCCAAACAAAAAGACATACAGACAAAGACAGATAACAAAGTCAAACAAAAAGACATACAGACAAAGACAGACAACAGCAAATAACAAAGCCAAACAAAAAGATAGAGACAAAAACAGATAACAAAGCTAAACAAAAAGACATACAGACAAAGACAGACAACAACAAATAACAAAGCCAAACAAAAAGACATACAGACAAAGACAGACAACAGCAAATAACAAAGCCAAACAAAAAGACATACAGACAAAGACAGACAACAGCAAATAACAAAGCAAAACAAAAAGACATACAGACAAAGACAGACAACAACAAATAAAAAGCCAAACAAAAAGACATACAGACAAAGACAGACAACAACAAATAACAAAGCAAAACAAAAAGACATACAGACAAAGACAGACAACAACAAATAACAAAGCCAAACAAAAAGACATAGACAAAAACAAATAACAAAGCCAAACAAAAAGATAGAGACAAAAACAGCCAACAGCAAATAACAAAGCCAAACAAAAAGATATAGACAAAAACAGATAACAAAGCCAAACAAAAAGACATAGACAAAAACAGATAACAACAAATAACAAAGCAAAACAAAAAGATAGAGACAAAAACAGATAACAAAGCCAAACAAAAAGACATAGACAAAAACAGATAACAAAGCCAAACAAAAAGACATACAGACAAAAACAAGCAAATAGACAAAGACAGACCACAACAAATAACAAAGCCAAACAAAAAGACATACAGACAAAAACAAGCAAATAGACAAAGACAGACAACAACAAATAACAAAGCCAAACAAAAAGATAGAGACAAAAACAGATAATAAAGCCAAACAAAAAGACATACAGACAAAGACAGACAACAGCAAATAACAAAGCAAAACAAAAAGATAGAGACAAAAACAGATAACAAAGCTAAACAAAAAGATGGAGACAAAAACAAATAACAAAGCAAAACAAAAAGATAGAGACAAAAACAGATAACAAAGCAAAACAAAAAGATAGAGACAAAAACAGATAACAAAGCTAAACAAAAAGATGGAGACAAAAACAAATAACAAAGCCAAACAAAAAGGCATACAGACAAAAACAAGCAAATAGACAAAGACAGACAACAACAAATAACAAAGCCAAACAAAAAGACATACAGACAAAAACAAGCAAATAGACAAAGACAGACAACAACAAATAACAAAGCCAAACAAAAAGACATAAAGACAAAAACAGACAACAACAAGCAAATAGACAAAGACAGACAAAAAGATAAGGGTTAGGGTTATAACCCTAACCCTAAGCATTTATATTTTCAAATATCATTTGATCTTTATGTGGGCTTAAAATCAAAAGCACATGTTCCTCTCTGCATAAATCCATTGTCCTTGACCTCATTTTCATGGTTCAGTGACTGCTTAAAAACTTATAAATCAAGTGGTTTTCTCGCTTGATATATGAGAGATATAAAAACTATATTTGGTATATAGAATCAATGCAAGGTATACATGTCTGTCAAGCAGGGTTATCCTTAACTTGACCTCCTTTTCTTGATCAAAGATCGGTATCTAAAATACTATATATAAGAATATGTCAACTATATTTGGTTTATGATATGATAGTGAGGTCTACATGTCCATCACACAGAATGACCCTGACCTCATTTTCATGGATCATTACCAAACATTTTGTTTTAGTGGTTAGGTTTATTTCTAAGATGTTAAAGGCAATAGGTCAAATCTATTTGGTGAATGCAAACAATTGTACTGTTTACATATCTTTCTGCCAATTGTTATATTTGACATGACATTGCTTCATTTATGGTTCATTGGTTAACATTAGGTTTTTCTGGTTTGGTCAGATACTATATACAATAAGTCAATTTTATTTGGTGTATTGTATGATTGTTAGGTGTTCAATTCTGTCTACCAGGATTCATATGACCTTGACCTCATTTTCAAAGTTTATTTATAATTTAAAGTTTATGATATATTCCTGTAGTGAATTTTTTTTCTTAAAGATTTCAACATAAAATTCAATCGGGATTGATAAGAAAATGAACAAAAGATAAATAAAGCATGATATCTAAGTGTATATACATTTGTTAACTAAAACAGTACTAATTAGTATTTGTTTGGTTCACTCTATGCAAAATTCATATGATGGTGTATTTATATTTTACCAAAAGTCATTGAATGCACATGCATGCACCTTTTCTTCATATACAATCTTTTATCAGTCAGGGATATAACTCTATAGGGTTATTACAGAAAATAACTTGCATGTGTTATTACAGATACTTTCATGAGTTGTCTACTCTTTGTTCCTTAAATTTTCTAAATCTGTAATAACATATGTTTGTTATTTGTAAAATAAATCAAAAATATTTTAATCTATAGTGGGCTCTAGGGAACTCTTGAGACTTTGCGCAGAAACTAAATACATAGCCTTGATAACTAATGTTTTAATTAAATTAATGGTAATGGTAAATCAATGAGATGAGGTTTTTAAGGGATCAACTTAGCTGTAATAACAAGGCTTAGTTATTAAAGGAATGTAATTTATTATATGAGACACTTGGGAATTACTGGGAAGCTTGCGCAGAACCTCATTAGATGCTCTGGTCATTATTTCTTACAATAAATTAAAATACATTGTAATTAAGCATGATGTATGTCTGGTCAAATGCTTTGGAGTGATGTAGAGAAGCTGTGATAACACCCTTTAGTTATTACAGGCATATTTTTTCTGTAATAACATAGGTGTAGTATACATAATTGGCAAACTGTGAACTGTTATATCTTTCTATAGTTGAGTATACATAAAGACAATAGTAATATCAATAGAACTTGTATACATTTTAACTAAACTAATGATGTATATTGTCCCTATGAAACATGTAACATACATATGTTATCACAGTTCTTTTACTTTTTAGTCCACAATAACAAATGTATTTTATTTTTCTGTAATAACCCTATAGAGTTATATCCCTGACTGTTTATTATAATTTCAGGAATCCAAATTTAAAGATATACTGTTGTGATTTTTCACCTACAGCAATAGAAATAGTTAAGGTAAGCCAAACTGGTCTATTTTTTTTTTTTTATTTGCATGTTATACCAGTAAAATCCAAATGAAAATTAGTTGACCCAACAAGGGGATTACCACTGGTTTTTCATTGGGAAATTTTGTTGGGGATTTTACCAGAATCTTCTCTGGGATACCAATGGAATTCCATTGAATATTCTACTGTCAGTTTACATGTCTGCTCCCCTAAGATTTTACTGCTGTTTTTTTTATAGTGCATTAGTAATACTAAGTTTACGAGTTTACTAAATAGCTATACTTTCCAATGCAATACAATATTTTTTTTTTAAAATATGTATAATGAATTTAAATTTTCATAGTTATAATATGCTATTAATTTTGCTAAGACTTTCCAAAATATGAAAAGACAAATCTGAAAATAAACATTAGTAAAAGCTTTGTTGACCAAAATATATAACAATGGATAGCCATCAGTTCAAAACAATTTTTTAACCATAGACATTTATGGTTGAACATTTCTCAAACCTTTCTAAAATTGTCCGTTGATAAATTTTGAACTTATTAGAAACTAAGGTTTCAACTCCCTCAGGCAAAGTTAGATGGATCTGGCTATTTTTTAGGTCCTTTTTGGTAATTTAGCTCTTATACATTCTTTGCTTTCAAAAATTCGTCTTTGGGTGTTCCTGATGAAGGTAAATCCAGAAAAGCGCTTATGACGCATGAAATTTATAAGGTGTTGTTTTAATTTTTTCTCAAATAGTGAACCTTACCCACACACCATCTATACTCAAACTATATGTCAGATAAGGATATATATATATATGTAAACTTCTCTTCCTTTTCATTATAGGAGATATTTATTCGAATATTTTAAAAACCATTTCAAACATTATTATTAAGATTTCAAATCGAAATATATTGTTTCTTAAATGAAAAATATTAATATTCAAATCAATATATTACCCTAAATGAGTCAGTGATTATGCAGAATACAGCATTTATGTTGATTGTAATTTTATTAGAAGTTATCAATACTACTTTGTAGGCATAGTTATACTAAAACATATATTACAGAAGTTAGTACCATCAATATTTATTAACAGTTATCACAAATTTTTCAAATGACTTTGATCTTAATAGTCCAGCAGATATTGGAAAAATTTATCACTTTAGGGTAAAAACTTTGCACAGTGATGCTAATGAACATTTTTGTCTAGCCTGCAACTTTTGTCGCAAAAAGCCCAACATAGGGATAGTGATCCGGCGGGGACGGCGGCGGCTGCAACGGTGTTAGCTAAGTTCTTATAAGCTTAATATTTTAGAAGCTAGAAGACCTGGATGCTTCATACTTTGTATATAGATGCCTTATGTTACGAGGTTTCCGTCTGTCATATGTCCATTGTCCTTGGCCTCATTTTCATGGTTCAGTGACTACTTGAAAAAAAAGTCAACATTTTTTGTAATGCTAATTTCTTTATTATTATGAGTAATAGGATAACTATATTTAGTATGTGCGTACCTTGCAAGGTTCTCATGCCCGTCAGACAATTTTCATTTGACCTCGACCTCATTTCATGGATCAGTGAACAAGGATAAGATTTGGTGGTCAAGTCCATATATCAGATACTATAAGCAGTAGGTCTACTATATTTGGTAAATGGAATGATTGTAAAGTGTACATGTCCAACTGGTAGGTGTCATCTGACCTTGACCTCATTTTCATGGTTCAGAGGTCAAAGTTAAGTTTTTGAGTTTTGGTCTTTTTTTCTAATACTATATGCAATAGGTCAACTATATTTGGTGCATGGAAATATTTTATGATGTACATGTCAGTCTCGCAGGTTTTATTTGACCTTGACCTCATTTTCACGGTTCATTTCTCAGTGTTAAGTTTTTTGTGTTTTGGTCTGTTTTTCTTCAACTATAAGCAATAGATCAACTATATTTGTTGTATGGAAGGATTGTAAGGTGTATATGTCTGTCTGGCAGGTATCATCTGACCTTGACCTCATTTTCATGGTTCATTGGTCAATGTTAAGTTTTCATGGTTAAGTTTGTTTCTTAGATACTATAATCAATAGGTCAACTATATTTAATGCATACATTGATTGTAAGGTGTACATGTCTGTCTGGCATGGTTCATCTGACCTTGACCTCATTTTCATGGTTCATTGGTCAATGTTAAGTTTTCTTGGTTAAGACTGTTTATTAAACTATAAGCAATAGGTCAACTATGTTTGGTTTATTGAATGATTGTAAGGTGTACATGTATTTCTCGTTTGGTTTATCTGACCTTGACCTCATTTTCTTGGATCATGTTAAGTTTATGTGTTACTTGTAGTAAAGCTTTATATTTAGGACTATCAACATAAAATCAATGGTTAGTAAAGAAGGCGAGACATTTCAGCGTGTGCACTCTTGTTGGATATGATATGAAGCCATGAAAAAAAATCCTTTATGGCCTCCAAATTAAAGATGGATGACCAACATAAGGTATTTGGAATACACTACCATGCACTTAATGAGGTCTACTAGATGCTAGAATTCAGTGCATATTCATATATGGGATCAAATAAAAGCTTATGGTATTAGCTTTCTAAATATTATCAGGATTATTCTCACAATTGAAATACATACCCCTACCCCATGCAAAATAGGCAAAAATGCCAAAAAAGGTCCTTTCGATTGTTAACAAACACCAAAAAAAATATAAACATTGATTATTTGATGTATTCTAATAATTATGGAGGTAGTTGAAATTTTTGGTGGCATTTTTAGGTTTTAAGCACGATTTGTAGTCAGAATATGAGGAAATTGTAAATATATTTTCAAATTTCCAGATTTAGTAAGATTTTTCCTTCTTTTGCCTGTTATGACCTATCTGCTTTTGCTAAAACAGTTCGGTTGATCTCAATTGAAACAAGAATGTTTAATTTTTTGTGGAAACACTAGGCATTGGTAGTTTTAATAGGATTAGGATAAATATTTGTACTTACATGAGCTAAACGAGGGGTGCCATATGTGGTAGGATCTGCTCACCCTTCCAGAGTACCTGAGATCACCCTAAGTTTTTGGTTGGGTTCTTGTTGCTCAGTCTTTGGTTTTCTATGTTGTTTTGTGTACTGTTATTTGTCTGTTTGTCTTTCTCTTTTTTAGCCATGGCGTTGTCAGTTTATTTTCGACTTATGAGTTTTAATGTCACTTTGGTATCCCTCACATCTCTTATACTGCATATGTTGAAAAATATTAACCCTACATCCTAAAAAATTTTCAACTAGAACTGTGAATATTTACAAATGAACAATTTAAATAATTCAATTGAAGTATAATCTATTAAAAATTAGTAGTAACTATGTACAACATATATATTTGGAAACCATTTGGCTACATGAATATCATTTGTGTAGCCAAAGGTTGGGGACTTTTCAGATTTTCTTAAATTTTGTCATTTATCCTTTTAAAACAAAATATGTATGTTATGTCCAAAACTATTGGCTTTCCCATGTGGAGGGAAGAAATAGATTTATCATTAAGTGCATTATTTTAAGACACCTAGATCGTTTAAAGTTAATTTTGTTCTCAAAGAAATTAAAAAAACAGATAATTTTAGATTTTTCTGATTTAGAATTGAATGCCATAAATATCCATCTAACATCCAAATGCTTTTGTTAACTCCAATCTTTTGGCATATATGAATGTTTTAATGTATTTTACACTTTTACCTCTTGAGATGAATTATTTTCTCTTAAAAAATCTAATGATAAAGCAAAGAATGTCCGTACCCTTTCAAATTGAGGAAAAATGTAAAAATGTGACTAATCATGGCTTTAATTTTTACACACATGAACAATAATTTAATCAAACTACTTGCATTTATATCAAATACTTATATAATACAGATTAACAAAAGCCATTTCTGTAGTCACGGGCTTGAACAAACCCAGAACTTTTCTTGATAAATGTCATTAGTAATTAATGTCTTTGTTACCCAGAACTTATGTTAATACATGTCTTCAGTATTTAATGTCCTTGTCACCCAAAACTTTTCTTGATAAATGTCTTCGGTCCTTAATGTTCTTGTTACCCAGAACTTTCTTGATAAATGTCATTAGTAATTAATTTCTTTGTTACCCAGAATTGTTCTTTATAACTGTCAGTTGTAAGTAATGTCCTTGATACCCAGAACTTTTCTTGATGAATGTCTTCAGGTTACACTTTTGTAAATATAGACAATTCAATTTCCAATTGGAACTCCTTTTACGGCTAAAACTGTGCCACTTTTAATATGAAGTTTCGTAAAAAAATATATCCTAGAATGAAAGTTAATATGCACTACAATTTTTTTCAAAGGTCAAAACATAGGGATGTGTGGCATCTTTTCAACATGTATAAGCCCCAACGTCTAAGAGTTTAAACTTGTACTAAAATTCTGTACTACTCCTCCCTTCACTTTGGTTTTCCTCAGAATTCAATTTTGCCGATATCCATGTGTATTTATACTGGTAACATTCCCAAGTTATATTTCTATGAGATGCAACATAGATATCTTATCCGGGAACCAGTACGTAAACAAAACAAAATATCTATGAATATTATATATCTCCCCAAAAGAGTCGTGGTTTGTGAAACAGCTGTATTTACAAAGTGCAACCTTCAGTAATTAATGTCCTTGTTACCTAGAACTTTTCGTGATTAATCTGAGACAGCAGTAATTAATGTCCTTGTTTCCCAGAACTTTTCATTATAAATCTCAATAGTAATTAATGTCCTTGTTACCCAGAACTTTTCATTATAAATCTCAGCAGTAATTAATGTCCTTCTTACCCAGAACTGTTCATTATAAATCTCAGCTGTACTTAATGTTCTTGTTTCCCATTTCATTATAAATATCAGCAGTAATTAATGTCCTTGTTGACCAGAACTTTTCATTTTAAATCTCGGCAGTAATTAATGTCCTTGTTAACCAGAACTTTCTATAATAAATCTCAGCAGAAATTAATGTCCATGTTTTCCAGAACTTATCATTATAAATCTTGGCAGTAATTAATGTCCTTCTTACCCAGAACTTTTCATTATAAATCTCCGCAGTAATTAATGTCCTCGCTTCCCAGAACTTATCATTATAAATCTCAGCAATAATTAATGTCCTTGTTACCAAGAATTTTTTATTATAAATCTAAGCAGGAATTAATGTCCTTGTTTCTAGGAACTTTTCATTATAAATATCAGCAGGAATTAATGTCCTTGTTTCTAGGAACTTTTCATTATAAATATCAGCAGTAATTAATGTCCTTCTTACCCAGAACTTTTCATTATAAATATCAGCAGTAATTAATGTCCTTCTTACCCAGAACTTTTCATTATAAATATCAGCAGTAATTAATGTCCTTTTACCCAGAACTTTTCATTATAAATATCAGCAGTAATCAATGTCCTTGTTACCCAGAACTTTTCATTATAAATATCAGCAGTAATTAATGTCCTTCTTACCCAGAACTTTTCATTATAAATATCAGCAGTAATTAATGTCCTTTTACCCAGACCTTTTCAATATAAATATCAGCAGTAATTAATGTCCTTTTACCCAGACCTTTTCATTATAAATCTCAGCAGTACTTTATGTTCTTGTTTCCCACACCCTTGTTATGTCACAATGTTTTATTTCAATATTTTCTAGGGTCACCCAGACTACAACCAAGACCGCTGTAATGCATTTGTATGTGATATATCAGATGAGATGTCAGCTACTCCAATTTCTGATAATTCTTTGGATATTGTCACTATAATATTTGTTTTGTCTTCCATTTCACCAGAAAAGTAAGTACAATACTTTTGCATTTCTCACACATACAAATAGCTACTCTCTCCACCTCGTGGCAGAGCGATTGCTAATCTGTCTACACTGATGTTGTGAATTCAAACGCTGCTCATGGGCAGTGTGTTCGATTCCAGTTTTAATTAACTAGAACTGCCAGTTTTGTTCTGTCAGAAGGTTGGTGATTCTCTCCATATACTCTGCCTCCTGCACAAATAAAATGTCATGATATAGCCAAGAGTGTTGAAACCCTAACTATCAATCTTCTCTCTCTCCTCCTCTTTGAGCAGATGTTATGAATTAAAATAGTGTGTTGCACTATCAGTAAACATGCAGGTGAATTCAATGTTTATTTCCCCATTAAAGTTGAAGTAGCAGACATCACCTTCCTCTGAACTAACCTCATTTTTGTCTTGCCTGCAACGAAATTTTGTTGCAGGCTGTGAGACTTATAGATTACATTCCGGCGGCGTCGACAGCCTAAACTATTTCTTTAAAGCTTTATATTATAGAAGGTAGATGACCTGGATGCTTAATACCTTTTATGCAGATGCCTTGTGCTATGAAATTTCTGTCCGTCATATGTCCATTGTCCTTGACCTCATTTTCAAGGTGAAGTGAATGCTCGAAAAGTTTTTATACCCCCGCTTTAAAAAAGTGGGGGTATACTGTTTTACCTCTGTTTTACCTCTGTCTGTCTGTCTGTCTGTCCATCCATCCATCCATCAGTCCATCCGTCAGTCCCTCTGTCCGTCCCGTGAATATTTTTTGTCCCATCTTTCTCAGAAACTACATTACAAGGATTTCTGAAATTTGGTTTCAGGGTTTATATGAGTCAGCTATACCGTGTGATGCGTTTTCAGATTCATCACTCAACAACTTCCTGTTTACCTTATACTTTTAATGGGGCGGGGGTATCACTAGTGAGCAGTAGCTCACAGATTCACTTGTTTTTTTTATCTTGTGAAATTCTTACATATTATAAGAAATAGAATATTTATATTTGGTATATGGTTCCTTGCAAGATCTACATTTTAACAGGTGTATTTCCGTCTTGCAGAATTCATCCGACCTTGACCTCATTTTCATGGTTCATTGGTCAAAGTTAAGTTTTCGTGGTTATTTTTGTTTTTCAGATACTGAAAGCAATAGGTCAACTAAATTTGGTGCATGGAATTTTTGCATGGTGTACATGTTGTCTGGCATTGCTCATCTGATTTTGACCTCATTTTCATGGTTCATTGATCAATATTTAATTTTCTTAGGTTGAATGTTTGTATTTATCTTATGTCAAAGATGTCCATAGATCAGTAACCTAACAACACATTTTTAATAAAAAATAGACATCTGTATAATGGAAAAGAAATCGGCGTCTTAGTGCACCACCCTGTATCCCAAATGAAACTTTTAGTTCCTTCGACCCCCAAATGTTTGTTACATCCTTTCAATTTGTACAAGTTGTCACATGACTGTGTTATTTCATTATGTGAGCACTAAATTTTAGTAGCAAATCAATGAATATTGCCCAGATGACCCTTGTACATCAAGAAAGAGATTTGACTCATCTTCCAATCTTTGTTTGCATAAATTAGCTGCCATGATAGCAAGTAATGCAAGGAACTAACAAGAAATTGCATTATGACAGAAAAAGCAGAAGTACTTTGCCGAAAATTGTTGTGAGGAATGAAGCTTTCATTTGTGCTACAAGGTAGTAGTGCGTCACTTAAAGTTACATACTTGTGGATGAAAATGAATATGAAAGTGAATTATGTATGGCCTATCTGCTTGAAAATGTATTATTTATGATCTTGAGACAGAAATTTACATCCAGAGTGAATTGTATTCATATTAATCAAAAATTTCATCTATAAAACGATATTTCAGTCAGTTGTATATTGCAGATATCATAATAAAGGCAGCAGTAGTATACCGGTGTTCAAAAGTCATAAATCGATTGAGAGAAAACAAATCCTGGTTACAAACTAAAACCGAGAGAAACACATCAACTATAAGAGGAAAACAAAGGAACAATAGGAACACTGAAGTGCAACAAAAACATATGCCAACATACATAGAAACGAATTATTTGATAACAACTGCCATATTCCTGACTTGGTACAGGACAGTTAAAGAAAAATGGTGGGTTGAACCTAATTTTATGGCTAGCCAAACCTCCCGCTTTTATGACAATGTTAAAAAATATCGCTCAAATGACAACACTACGTGACAGAAGTACAGCACAAAAACATAATTTCACTTTTACTACATTGTAGTTAAATAGTTGTCCTCTAACTTGATGTAAAGAAGCATTTGAAGGATTTTTTTTTATAGAATGCAATATGTGGTGAACAGATTGACCAGATATTTAAAACCAGGAGGGACTATTCTCCTCAGGGATTATGGAAGATATGATATGGCTCAGTTAAGGTTTAAACAAGGTATTTGATATTATAACAGTATAAGATTGGATGGGATTACAGGATATATTATTTCCCACATTTTAAGATATAATACTTAATACTCCTCGATAATGCTACTTTTATTGTTGAAATGTTCATGATATATATAGAAACATATATGGGGATAAAATCAGGGTAATTTATTCCTTTAATGTTGATGTGATATCACTGTTATTCATTTCTTTAATGTTGATGTGATAGCAGGATAACAATACAGTAAATGTTGATGTGATATCACAGTCATTCATTTTAAACCTGATATTCAAAGGAAAAAATCGGTTATTGATTTGGGGATGTACGGGGGGCGGGCCGGCTTTCGGCTGCCACATAGTGTCTGTTCATTAACATGTAAACACTTTATTGAAATCTTTTCAAATTAAGTTATGTTGTTTCCTGTGACTAAATGAAGGTCAAGTTCAATTATCACGATTTTAACTGTTCTCGATGTTGAGTTATAGCAAAAGTGATACTTATTATATGATTTATTTATTTTGAGTTATTTCCCTTTGAACAGAAATGGTGTAATTAATAAGTAAATGGATAGATAGTCTATCAATGATTGTATCTGTTTTATTCATGCAATAGTTTGCACCTTTTATCAAGATAAAAAATATGTGGTAATTATCAACTGACAAAATTATAATTGGAGTGACATATTTATTTGAAAATTTTGTGTTTCCTAAGTGTTGATGATGTAGGACAGTATAAATATAGTTTGAAATTTACTGCTCATTATTATATATTTTGAAAGTAATTACAGATAAGTTTTATAGATTAATATTAATTATTATTATAGTATTAAGGATAAATGATATTTTTGGTGAAAAAAAAAAATTCTTTTGTTTTTTGGTAAATGTTTTGTGGTAGGCTTGTTTGTTATTCTGTATAAACTAATTTTCTGAAAGGTATATATATATAAATATATTTTATGGAGCAAACCCCTTTAAGGTAGATGGGGGGGTGTCTAAATTAAAATCCATAGAATTTTTTAATAAATTTGTCAAAAAGTAGTTTATGTCATGCTTTTAACAAAAATATAATAAAAAGTATGGGTAACCGGTTTTTTTTTTCGAGCTACAGGTTGTGCAAAATTGTCATATTTTGTATAGATTATGCCTGGAAAACTCATTGTTTTGTGACAAAAAGAAAACTAAACCATAGAATTTTAAGATAAAATATGAGAAGATAGCTCTTATAATATGCTTTCAGTTAAGAAAAAGAAAAAGTGGGGTCAACGAACTCGTTTTCTTGCTACATCATAGAAAAGATAAATTCATAACACATTCTATTATAAAAGTTATTTTATCTGAGTTATCTCCCCTTATGTTGCAGAATTGAAAAAAAAATGAAGAAAAAAAAAAATTCTACTTTTTGTAAAATACAGCCGTAAAATATGATAAAACACATAATTTTCTATATCAACACGAAAAGTCTTACAAATGAATTACATACTACTCTCAAAATTTGCACATTTCGGTAAAGATCTTGACCGATTGTTATCTGCTTTTCAAAATCCAAGATGGAGGAAGACACCTCAGCCACCTTAAGAACTAAAACTTATATTGTTTATTAATAAACATGTATTTAGATTTTTGATTTTGAGCTAAGTTTTCAAGTTGGTCCTAATCGGGGGTCCTAAATTAAAATGTTTGAATTCAACAAAAATTGAATAAATGGGGTTCTTTGAAATGCTGAATCTAAACTTCTTTTTTTTACTTGATCCTGTTTGGGGGTCCAGATTTGCAAATATTGTTTTCATACAGGAAAATCCAGTTTGCTGTCACTCTGACAGCCTCTTGTTTTAATGTTGATGTGATATCACAGTAATTCATTTCTTTAATGTTGATGTGATATCATGAAAAAAAAAATATATTGATTTATTCGTGAACAGGCAGATGTTTATCAGAGAATTTTTATGTTAGAGGAGATGGAACTAGAGCTTATTTCTTTACTCAAGGTAAGTTACCCTACGAATATACTTATTTTGATAGTTTAATTAAAAACTGCTGATTTAATTTTTTTGAGAAAACTTAATTTATCATCCTCCCACAGACAAGGTTGATTTGCTTTAGAAATTCTCTTTAATTAATATCAATGAAAAAAGTAAAAATAACACAAATACCGAACTTCAAGAAAAATTCAAAACGGAAGTCCCTTAACAAAAGGCAAAATCAAAAGCTCAAACACATCAAACAAATGGAAAACAATTGTCATTATATTGACTTGGTACAGGCATTTCCTTATGTTGAAAATGATGGATTAAACCTGGTTTTATAGCTAGCTAAACCTCTCACTTGTATGACAGTCGCATCAAATTCCATTATATTGACAACAATGTGTGAACAAACCAAACAGACATAATAGGTAAAAATGTCAAAATTTGGGGTAAAGCAGTCAACATTGTGTTATAATATTAATCACTTTAAAAGAACTATATCAACAAAGAAAAAGCAAAATGAAATATGATTTATAAAGGCAACAGTAGTATACTGCTGTTCAATAGTCATAATTTAATTAAGCAAAAACAAATCCGGGTAACAAACTAAAACTGAGGGAAACACATCAACTATATATAATAATATAAGAGGAAAACAACGGAACAACAGAAACACTGAACTACAATAAAAACAAACGCCAACATACATAGAAACAGACTGTAGATAACAACTGCCATATTCCTGACTTGATACAGGACATTCTTAGAAAAAATGGTGGGTTGCTCCTGGTTTTATGGCTAGCATAATATTGCTTAAAGTACTTTATAAAAATAAGGAGATGTGGTATGTTTGGCAATGAGACAACTATCCACCAAAGTTTAAATGAAGTGGATGTAAGCAATTATAGGCAACCGTACGGACTTCAACAATGAGAAAAAACCCATACCGTATGGTCAGCTATAAAAGGCCCAACATGAAAAATATGAAACTATTCAATTCAGAAAACTAACGGCCTAATTTATAACAAAACAATTTACGATAAACAAATATGACAGCCATGAACCAACGTCAACCACAGAACTACAGGTTCCGGACTTGGGACAGGCACATAAAGAATGTGGCGGGGTTAAGTTTTGCACTGTACATGCAACCTGTTTCATTTGTGCAAAACCTGACTGATAGGATCCCTGTTTTAGCTCAAATTACCCAAAGAGCCAGTGTAAGTTATTGTTATTACCTAGTGCCTCTCTTTGTCTGTTGATGTCATCTGCCATTGTTGTCCGTTAACTTTTACTTGTATCTTCCCTTCTGAAACTACTGGGCCAATTGGAACTTAAGTCTCTAAAATATCTAGTTAAAGATATTAGTCTGATGATCAAGCCTGCCTACCAACATGGCCCACATGGCTAAAATAGACATATGCGTAAAATGCAAGATGTGTCTATTATCTGAAAACTTTTTGTGATAGAGAAAATCTGACAGTGCAATCAAATACTGTGTCCATTTTGTCAAAAGTTGTCAAACTACTCTTTATAGGAGTTATTTACGTGAAAATGACGATTTTTACCAACTTCTATGTTAAAAATAGCATTCAAAACCGAGTTCAAGTAACAAAATTTTGTGTATATATATTACCATACTTGTCAAGAAAACTATCTTAATGAAAATAGCGTAAGTAAATCATTCTGTCATACAAATAGCCTTTTTAAAGGACATATTTAAACTGGAGTTATCTGCATTTGTTCTTAATTATAGTTGAACCAATATCTTTAATTCAAGATATACCTTCTATTGCATATATACAATACAATATTTCACTGTTGGTTCACAGTTCAAAATGAGAGCAATCTTAATCCTTCAGCCACTACCATGACTACAAAGTTACCAGATTCTAAATGGCCATTTTTTCTGAATTTTGTCTAACATTCTGAAAAGTATTAATACTGTTTTACTGTTGTCCAAACGTTTTATTTTAATTCTAAATTTTCCTTAACTTTCTAAATTTGTCTCATGCAGATATGATTTTAGAATAGGTAATACTCAGGATTTGAAAATTGACAATGATTATAATGAGAGTTTAGATTATATGTAATTAACCGAGTTAAGATAATAAGTTTATTAAATTCCTTAAATTAAGCAAGTTAAAAAATGGGAAAGCATTATTGATAAGGTTTGAAGTGAACATTTAAAAAATAAATGTGATAAGGATTTAGTTCACTGTTCAAGATGTACAACCAGTAAATTTACATTTGTACAGCTTATATTTATTTTTATATATGTACTGTTTTATCACTTTAAATACAAATAAAACAACATGGGAATTTTATTAAATTCTTAAATTCCATTAAAAGTAGTAGTCATAAGAATTTTCCATGTATTGTAGAGACCATGCAAATTGTTGAGTTTCGGTCTTGTACATATTAAAATGAACTCTTGAAGTCCTAGTCAAATCCTATATGTGTGACTAAGATCACATTCAGACAGTTCAGAATATACATTTCCAGAATTTATTCAGATAGAGTTCAGAAAAAATCAGACAAATCAGACAAAAATTAGTCATATCTGAATTCAATGACTTTGTAGAGAGTGCTAGCAAGCACTTTGATTTTAAGGTATACCTATTATCTTGAAATTTTAATAGTTGGATAGATAGAAACTTTATTAGCAAGAGGAGATTTCTACAAATCTGTCAACCTGGTGGAAATCATCATTTGAATCCTTATGGGAGTTGTTGCCCTTTAATGAAGATTTTTACTAATTCTTTGTGTTTATGTCTGTATATGTATATGTATATTGTATAACTTCATTTGGTATATGGGTTCCTTGCAAGGTCTACATGTTCGTCAGACAAGGTACTCGATCACATTTCATCCATAAGTGATCAAGGTGAAAGTTACTTGTTAAGGTACGTTCCTCAGATAATATAAAAAAAAGTAAAGTATATGTGGTGTATGAAGTGATTGTATGGTGAACATGTCACCTTGACCTATAATGGTTTACTTTTATAATTTGTAACTTGGATGGAGAGTTGTCTCATTGGCACTCATACCACATCTTCCTATATCTATGTCAGTCTGGAAGGGTACATTTTACCTTGTCCTCATTTTCATGTTTCATTGGTCAATGTTAAGTTTTTGTGTTTTGGTCTGTTTTTAAATTCTATAAGCAATGAGTCAACTTTAAATGGTGTATGTAATGATAGTAAGGTGTACATGTCTGGCATGTCTCATATGACTTTGACCTTCATTGGTCAATGTTAAGTTTTCACGGTTTGGTCTGTTTCTTTGATACTATAAGAAAATGTCAATTATAATTTGAGAATGGAATAATTTTATTGTGTGCAAGTATGTCTGACAAGGTTTTTTTTACCTAGACTTCATTGTCATGCATCTTTTAAAATGTTACAACTAGGTGATACTTGTAGTAAAACCGGCAGGGTTTGAAGCTAAGAAAATAGAGCAGTAGCCAAGTAGGCTACCAAAATTTTTTTTGAATTAGTCCACTTATTAAGGAGTAGGGGCCACAGGTGCACGTCAGGGCGCTTGCCACCTCGCATAAGCGTGGTGCCTTACGGCGAGGGGTTTGTGGGCCGCTTAAGGCCCCTAGAAGCTCTTGGGGTAAATGGTGCAAAATCCTGCATTCTGGCACTCTCCTGGCAGCAAAATTGTGTATTTGAAAGTCATGATTTTATATAGAAAAGTTTTGAAATTTCTAAAAAAAATATGAAATTTCACCATTTAGTTTTTTTTTCTTGGTCTGGTCATTAATCCTCAATTGTAAATTATTTGTTTACCATAATGGCATTTAATCATTGGGTCCCTGTTGTTCCCTGTCATATTCAAATTGTACCAAAAACTAGAGTTGCAGACATGTAATTTTATTTAAACATTAAAACATTCAAAATTCACATTCATATTCATATTCCAGAAGGTCATTGAAAACAGAGAGTTCATTTTCTGATTCATCAGTTTCATCATCAGTTGGTTCATCCACATCAGATGAGTTTTCATCATGAATATCTTGTTCCAATTCAACTTCTGTTTCATCATCCACTTCTGAGATGTCCATCTCAACATTACTAGTAGGTTTTTTTTTATTTCCCTAATACCTAATGGTTTAGACAGAGGCCTCCTAGCTTTGCTTCCAGAAGTGTTCCAGTGCATAATAGAAGAGGGACGAAAGATACCAGAGGGACAGTCAAACTCATAGATCGAAAACAAACTGACAACGCCATTGCCAAAAATAAAAAGACATACAAACAAATAATAGTACAGATGACACAACATACAAAACTAACGACTAAGCAACACGAACCCCACCAAAAACTGGGGGTGCTCCGGAAGGGTAAGCAGATCCTGCTCCACTTGTGGCACCTGTCGTGTTGCTTATGTTATTACAAATCCGGTAAATAGTCTAATTCGGTGGGTCACATTCGTGAAAAGGGAAGGGTATTGTAGTTACGACATAAGGAACATATCCGATATCATCTGTGAAACGGTTATTCCATAACGGTCAACCAACTAGTGATGGCGTCCGTAAAATTTACGAAGGGATGATTTCAACTTCACCATTTGGAACTCTTCGTTTAAAAGCTTCCTTGTGAGCAGCAATCTTCTATGAAGGAAATCATGATAGGAAATACAAGCCTGGGAATATTGTATCAATTGGGAGATATATACTCCGTATGCAGGCGCTGCTGGAATGTTGCTACATAGAAATGGAAAGTTCACAATTGGGAAGCTGAAATCATCTCTTTTGTCGTAAAGTTTTGTTTTCAACCGACCCTCATTGTCAATTTCTATATGTAAGTCAAGATATGAGGCAGACTTAACTGTTTCTGTAGTATCCTTTATCTCTAGTTCGATGGGATAGATTCGTTCAACATAGTCACCAAATTTATGGGGATCAAAGTGTTTTACATCTGGAGATTCAAGTTTGATCACAAGAGAGTGGTTCAGTAAGTCATGTCCCATTTTACTCCTTATATTTGTTTTTATCAGTTTTAGGTGTGAGAATCCTC